AAATCAGGCTTGCCACAAACTATTATATTTTCTAGCGTCAGCGGTATTCATAAATCCATTTTCAGAAGTGTGTTGAAGGTATGGATTTAAACCGTGACTGTTTGTGTGGCATCAAGCGTGCCACTAAGCTCTGGATTTTAAGTGACGATTTGTCTGTGGTGCTCCACCAAGCCATGTTGTTGTGTAAAAACTTCCTGTGCCTCGTTGAACTTAACCACAGACGTCAACTATATTGAACACACCATGTTTAAAAAAAACACAGGCTTTCAAGACAGGGTTACTCTGTAATCTGACATTATCTAGATCATAAACGTCAAACTTTGAGAGGCAAACTGCGTTTTGGAACTTGCGTGTGTTGCTAAGTTGTAGGATATTTTTGGAACCAGCTGAGCTCACTGGCTTGCACTGTACAGCTTACGGGCCATTCAGTAAGAAAGGTTGGTTAGGTATTGTTACCATGTCCTTCAAGCAAAAGACGGTCACTTGGTGGATCTCTTTGCAACTATCGTGTGGTTGACCAATTGTTGGACTTAGTTCTTATACTTTAATCCTAATTTCAAGCAGGAATAACACACAAACAAACTCAAATGACTTATAGTATTAATTGTAATGACTTAAGTTTTAATTCTTGACAATTTCCTTGGTTTATTTTTTGTGGATTAGCCAACATCTAACCCGCCACACGCCAGCAGTGGGTCAAAATGAAATTGAAAAGCCTGTCTTGTAGAGACGCGGATTTTTCAGTCTGGCAATTTGATTCCAATTTTTAGGGTCACGATTCAATTCAGAAACTATCTTTGATTAGAAAACCGATTTTTCTATTCAAATGGCCCAGAGATTGTTTAAATTATCTGACCAATGAGGGGAAAAGATGTTGTAAATAAATAGAACATTTATCTAAAGCAATCAAATTCCATCAATTTATATTGAAACAAAATTAGGAATGTGCATAAAATTCTGTAACTTTAATTTCCAGTATCAGGTTAGCTTAGCTGCCTGTCTTTCTCTTAACTCTTCTAAGAGATGGAGTATTAGGGTTTTAGGACCCCATGAGTTTTTTATGCTGTCTGGTGGAGTCACACTAACCCTGTGTGCAGTTTTCAGAGGGTTTTCTTTTCTGTGTGTGGTTTTGAGAACTGACAGTCTAATGGGATAACACCCCACTTCCCCACTGTCTGACAGTGACATCTGCTGCGCTCATCCAGAGCATCACGCTAAGACTGATAGAGGGTTAAATAAACAAAATATCAAAGAATTGTTCAAAATACAAGATGGCCAATTGGGCACGTATTAGGATATGCAGTGTAGTTGAAAATAGTGGCAAAGACGTACAATTTGAATGCATTTTAAAATAGATTCTTGATAATTTTGAATTGATTCAGAGTTACTAGAACTAAGAATTAACATTCTCAAAAGAATAAATTATTTTTCTGCACCTCTGCTGCTTTGATAACAGGCTGAGGAAGGTAAAGATTGAACGAAGAAGTGAAAAACTTTGAGAACAGCTAAATGACGAGCTGTCATGTCATTCTGATGCTTAGTTCACAAACCCTTTCAATGAAATTGTTTGTGTTTATGGGTGCCAGTGATCTACTGGTGTGATTAGTGAATCATAAGCCGTACCGAGTGATGAATAACACTCCTTTTGGAAATCTGTATTGGAGGACAAAGTGTCAAAGTTGTTTTTGCAATTGTTTGCAGACAATTGCAAAAAGTTTAAATTAAGGGATAAATTTGATCATTTGTACAGCCTGTTCTGCTCAGACAGGAAGATATTCTTTTCTTTTATGCATATTATTATTGACCTCCTGTAGATGAATTGGAATCTACAGAAATTGATAATGGCAGGTCAAAACTCAGCAAAACCTGGAGACTGGAAAAAAGCCACAAAAGTTTTATTTCTGCATGTCTAGTCTGAAGATATAAATAATCTGGTTGTATTAGGTGAAAAATGTAACTTCATAGTGCAGTTTGTAGCTCTGTCAGGGTTCTGTACCCCGCTTCTCATCCAACGACCGTTGGATATAGCCACCTGCAAGGATAAGCTGGTATAGACAGTGGATGGATGGATAACTACATTTACAAAACCACACAGATTCCACCTTGCTGCTATGTTTTGAACAACAGGAAGCCAAAATGAAACTGTGAAAGTAACAGATACACTCTAAAACATAAATTTAAAATGTGGTGAACTTTCTTTGTAATAATAATGTGCAGTAGTAGTACTTTTTAACTTTATTTGGAGGGTGTAACACTATAGTAGATGGTGTGTAGGAAGAGCAGCACGTCAGGATTTTTAACAGCATATTCTACCTTGTGCCTTTTAAATCTCAGTGGAAAGCAAGACTGGAATAAATGTGAAACTCTAAGACTATTTTCCAATTTAAACAGCGCTATACCTGACAGACTGGGCAACGTTTAACTTTTTAACAAATAAAAACATGTTTGCAGTAAACCAACACTGCAGGCCTGAGTAATAAGACCAGCTCGGAACTTAGTTTTCCTGAATGCACTTGGAGAGATAAAAACAGCCATAGAAGTAATCAGTACGTTTATTTTTAACCCCCTGATGCTTTTGAAAAAAAAAAATCAAAATGCAGAGACACAGAATTAAAAGCCCACTCATGCCGTTTAACAGTTCAAACTGCTATTATTGCCATCCGCCGTAAAAGCAGCAGCGGTGGCTGCTTTTACCGCTGTTGCATTTACTCCATGGAAGGAGTAAATGCAACTCCTTCCATGGAGTCGAGGTAAATGCAACTCCATGGAAGGAGTAAATGCAACTCCTTCCATGGAGTTGCATTTACTGCATGTAATGGTATGCTAGAGCTGTGAATACTGGTTAGGGGAATTTAACAGGTAGCAGATGGACTACTAGAACCAGCTGTTGTTTATGAGGCAAGAGGGAGACATTGTGGTTTAGAGTTCAGAGGGAAGGACATGTGTGCAAAGGCACCTGTGAACAATCCTTACTTTGATGGAGATCTGCTGAGGTGTGCAGACCAAACAGGGTTGCTTTGATTCACTACATCCTCTGAAGAAGGCTGCAGTAGTTTAAGGCAAAAACAGTTTGATGAAACTGGTTATAGTCGACATATTTCTGTCTGTTCTGTGTTTCAATATGTTTTATTTTGGAACATTTCATAGAAATAAGTTAGACATATGAGGGCAAACAAGTTAGCATGTGAGCTACTTCTCAGTGCAGCCCTTGTAAGAATGATTGCAAATGGCATAATGGAGGAAAATTGTTGTGATGACAAACTGTGGGTGGAGTGTTGTAAAGAGTAAGAGCTTCTGAAAGAGACATAGGCCAATTTCAAAGCATCAAATTAAGTCATGTTTGACATACGTAGCATTTTTATAACAACTGAAGGTTGATAAGTTAAGTTACAGTACAGTAATTTATCTGTGCCGATTTCCTTAATTTTGGGAGATTGGTGATTGGAATCAGCAGGTCAGGTTTTTAAAGATCGGTAATCTGCGATCGTCCAGAAATCTGCTGTTGGTGCAGCCCTGCTGGATTGTGCTGTGAAATAGAGCTATGTGTCTGGAAAATACATAATACTGCCCCTTTAAATGGTTGTTCAGAAAGTTGTACAAGGACTTTTGCTTCTCGAAATGAGCTGCGACTGTATTGGAAGCTGAGAATCAAATATAATCTTCATCCGCATTAGCCAGATGTGGTTTTTCTTAGAGGCCCTCACTCCCTGTTCACTAGATATGCAAATAAGCAATAAAAAACCTGTTCTTCGAATACTAATATTTTATGAGTTTTTTTTTCTCTCTCTGAGTTCATGTGTTGCCCCCAGCTGTTGCCACCCAGTTGGGTGAGCCGTAACAAGAAACACCACAGGAAATATGAAATTTTTTTTCCTCCCACAGTTAAGGATATCAACATTGAAGTTTTGGACATTTGTCTTACATACAACGCAGCTTTCAAAGACTTTTTAATCCATTTTTTATTCCATACAGTAAATTTTCCTCATTCAAAATAAACTAAATTGGCTGTAACAGAGAAGCCAAGGCCTTTGGGATGCCTGCGGTTATTTTCATCGCAAATAAAACTTCTAATGCTGAACATTAAAGGAATCATAAAAAATGGGGTGATGCTTTTTTTGTTGTTGTTTTGGCTTGTTTTTCTTTTTTTTGTTGTTGTTGCATAGCAACCCACATGGAGCGACTTACTTTGCATCAAATATAAAACCTCCAACTGATCCTACAACAAAGGAGGGTAGGATTCGCTGACGGGCTGAGCAGTCTGTTTGCCCATGAAAAAGTATGTCTTCTCTTCACAGTTGGCATTAAACCCACCAACTGGATTAGGAAAGCTGTTACTGTCTAGTTTATTTTCAGCACAGTCGCAGCAGAACAGGGCAGAAACGAACACGCCGCAAAGACGCGAGGCGCTCAAAGTGACGCGTTATACAGAGCATTGTGCGTCCAAATCAAACCGCAATAAATGTGCATTGCATTTAGTCTCTCTTGTGTTTTCTGGCTTTTCTGCATAAAGTGGAGACAATGTTCCTTCAATACTAAATGTGTCAGCAAATCTGACAGCTGTGTGATAAGGCAGCGGTGCTTCTCCAACGTATCGTTATCACAAAAAATTGGAAAGTAATGGAAAGCATATTCCATATTTCTGCACTTAAAAATATTTATCCATCAAAATTTTAAGCTGGATTTATTGTCAAAGCCCTCTCGGATGATTTACAGTACGGCGAACTGTGTACAGTGGGGTAGGGTGATGTGAATATGACCCGACATTTTCATAAGAAGCAGGTTCGTGTCAACTTTTGCACATTTGTGTCGGATATCTGATAGCCGTTATGTAACGCCGTGCCTGAACTGTGACTGGCTCTGACAATAAGCTATGATCTGCTTCACGTCAAGCCCCTCTCTCTCTCTACTTCGTCTCCGTCTTCCTTCTTTCTTTCCACACTTTTCATCTCTTTATCTCGAGTAACTCTGCCGTGTGTGTGTGCCTCTCTTGTCATCTGTAGGCTCCAGCTGCAAGTGCTCTCAGCTCCATCATCTGGGACTCCATGGCCGCCATGGCTGCTGCTGCTGCTGCTTGATTCATTGCACTGTGAGTTAGCTTCTGTTTTATGTGAGAATGCGTGCGTGTCCAGGTCTCCCTGTCCATCTGCGTTTCGTGGTGTCATTTCTTGGTTGTTGGTTCCAGGGCTGTGTAATAATATCAATTCTGCGATATATATCGATATTTTCTTTCCTAGAAAAAAATCGATATTCATCCGCAAGTATCGTAACATCCAACTGTCACCTTGCTCACTCACTGCTTGCTTTACCAGGAGAGCAATTAGGTCATCAGGCTTAGAGTGATTCCTTCAGATGTTAAGTGTCGAGGTTAAAAAGGTATCAAACTATTCAGAGCAGGTACTTGGTGCACTTTGTTTACTTTACAAATGCATGTAAGCTACAGTTTGTACTGTTTCAATTAAAAGAAACATGTTTTCTCACCACTTCTTTGATTCATTTTGTCCAGCTGTTGACTTTAAGTCTGTGTCCATGTCCAACCAGAGGCAGGTATTGTGTAGTTGGTGCTTTTAATCAGTTTTCAGTTAAATTAATTCAGTCCAACTCTATAACAGTCACAAAATGTCACCAAAATCACTCTGTCCCTCTAAAATCTTTCAGAAAATCGCAAACGTGTATTCAATTGTATCGTTTGCTGAATATCGCAGTATATATTGTATCGTGAGCGGAATATCGTGTATTGTATCGTATCATGAGATTACTGTATCACTACAGCCCTAGTTGGTTTTGGAAATGGGCTGTGCATGTGCATTCAATCAGCTGTAGAAGCCTCACTGTGTCACTATCAAATAGGTTTTTGTCATATAAATTTCTCACAGTAAAGTTTTTACCTGTGACACTGCAGTAAATTCTTTTGCCCTTGAAATAAACTAAAATTATAATTTAAAACTTCAAAAGGTGAAAGAAAAATTACTTAACGGTGTCAGAAATTAAGGCCTCAAAATGTGTTAATTTCTGATTTTTTTAAATTTCTTTTTGTCTTTAAAGTTTGTTGTCAGTATGCTAATCACAGATCTTAAATTTTGTCATATCCAGACATCTTAATCTCTTTTGATAGTTTTTTTTTTTCTTCACGGGACGTTTCTGTCAGGCAAAAGTTTGAATCACACGCAAACTTCTTCATTGCCAGTAACGAGCTTTCCAGCTAGCACTCTTTCCAGCTAGCCTGACTAGCTAGCTAGCTTTTTCAGTGTCCATCATTAGTAATTTCAAATTTATCGCCAGTTGGTTGGCAATGTTTGTCTTAACCAATAGCTAACTTCTGTTGCTAACCCATATAATTTATTTATGTACGGTTCTCTTTTGTGCATTCTGTCGTTGTGATGCAGGTCTTAAATTCCTTTCATATAGATCTTAAAAAGTCTTAAACTTAACTTTGTGAAACCTGCAGAAACCCTGTGTTTAGCTGTGTTTTGCCCCTTCACACGCACCCACTCAGACTAATTGTAGCAAAGCTGTCATGTCATGCAGAGTGCTTTCCTCCTATTGAGACCAAATTTAAGGGTTCAAATTACCAGACACTCCGGTTAAAAATGTCGTAGGAGTCAAAGTGCCAATGTTGCAGCTGGAAGCAGTCTATAACAGCCTTCTTTAAAAACGCTACGGGAGGAGGTCTTGCAATCCGAAATTTATAGGTTCGAGTTTTGATTGAGGCGTTGCTTGTTTGGACAATTATTCCATCTGGTTTTGGATGCTGTGCAGTTGGAAGGATTGTTGCTGTTACTTTTTTATTGTTGGGTATTTTTATTACAACTGGGAGCAGCTATTAGTATCTCAAAAGCTTAAATAATACATGAACTTCGACCCCAAGCAGAGAGAGGAGGAGGAAATTCAAAGCATCTTTTGCTTTCAGAGTGGCATCTGCTGCCCAGAAATTGAGCTGTTAGCAGGTCATGACAGTCAGGATGCTCTCATATAGCAACAATTTGAAAGTCAGAAGCCTTTTTAGATTTGTTGCAAGACTGACTGCTACCAGACACCCTTCCTGCCCCACAATGACTATTTGAGGCAGCTGTGATGTTACAACAACATTTAATTTCCCTTTGGAATAAATTGTGTTTTTAAATTGAGCTGATGTTGGTACAATTTAATGTTGTGTTTTATCTTGTGATGAGCTGGTGTGAAGTCTCCACTAACCCTCATGCAGTCTTTAGAGATGAGGTCATTTGGACCCCACAAGTTTTTGTGGGGTCACACTGACCCTGTGTGCGCTTCTGCTAGGTTTATTCTGTGGGTTGTTTCGGAAACTAGCAGTCTGATGGGAGAACCCCCAATTTTTCCACAGTGTTTAATTTGGAAGAGATTGGTCAGTAAAATATTCGCAGATAAATTAGATCATATTGTCACAATTATTTAATGCAGTGAGAAAATATTGGATTCCAACTTTAGTGCTGACAGTATTGTTGTCTTTTTAACTATATTTACGGTGATAAATAGACTAAAGTAGAATAAACATAGCATATAATATAGTACAAACTTTAGTGCTGCTTATCCAAGATCAGAGAGTGAAATATAACATTCTATAAATCAATATGTACATTTATCTATTTAAATTTTTTGGATGAGACATAAACATTTAGATTTAACAAAGGCCCACTAATCAAAGGAAGAACTCCCTGCTGTTTATAACACTTTTCTGTCTGCCTGTTGTGAGTTTTACCTGGAAGGGAAAACGGTGCAGGATAATGTTGAAATTCCCCCATCTCTTCAGCCATCTTTGGTGTCTGTTACTTCCTGCTTGTGTGTGTTTTGCGCTTTGTTTTTCAGAACAGCAGTGGTGTTGTTTGCACCTCTTGGTGCTTGTGGAGCCAGAGGGCTCCACTTTTCCATATTTGCATAATAGAACATTTTAGTTCTGCAATTAAAATCCTCCTGGATTCTCAGTTTTCATTTGAAATGCCTCGAATGCTGTGATTTATTTTTTTCTTTTTGAGATAATCCGTGATGTGAAACAGAATCTGTATAAAAAATATGGATTTTGTTTTTCCCTCCTCCGACGAAGTCTGTCATGCTTGAACATGAGTTCATGAAGGCTGCCGTGAAAACGTTCCAAACTCAAGCCAGATTTTCGGATCAGAACCACCAAACTCCAGAGAACACTTAGCAGGGCTTGGAAACAAAGTCCTACTTAAATCATTAGTGGGGGAAAAAAAAGCCTGTCCCACCATCACTACCAGGCTGATGCTGTCCAAAATCATAATGAGAAGGCAGAGAGACATTCTCCACTCACAGAAATAGTTTCTTTTTGGTGGTGGTAATTGGGAACTGTTATCAAATCTGTTCCCTTGTTCTATTTTCTCCCAGAGTTGAGAGCTGTAGCAGAAAGAGCCGTTTGTTCTTTGGAGAAAGTAGGACAAGCTTCTCCAGCTTCATTTCAGTCAGAGCTCATGTTTCCTGTAGCTTCCTGAATATTCCACATATACGGCGTTATAAATGTTCTCCAGTTAGACCAAGTGGGAACCAAATCGGCTTTTATGTTTTAATTTCTTACATGCATCTGATGTGTTTATTCTGTTTTTTTTTTTTTTTTGTCCAGATAGATCTCAGTAAATAAGAATAGTTATTAAATCTCAGTAATCCAATTTAGCTCACACACACATATATATTAATTTCCCATGGTGGTATAGTTCCAGCGCTGGTTTTTGTTCATTTGATGACTGCTAATGAAATGCCAAAGAAGGAATCCTGGCCAGTGACAGTGACCATTAGGCTCATCTTCATTGTTGCATTTAGCATCTCATGTCCGTCTTTTACGGTGACCAAGAAGGGTCAACACAACAAAATCAAAAGCCTTAACAGCAAAAAGCCATGTTGGAAGTTATGCTAACACGTAATGTATGCTGAAACGGATGTTGTGATAAAATGAAATTAATTCTGAAACAGAAATGATGCTAACACGGAATTTGTGCTAAAACTGAAATTATGCTAAAATGGAATTCCTTTATCCAACTTTAGCATGACGTCCACTGTGGTTTGTGTTGTTGAGTTGTAGCTTTTGCATTTTTTCTGACCCTTCTGGGCCACCGTATCTCCATAAGCTGCCATAGAGAATTTATGGGATTTATTTTTTGCTAATGAAACACTTTGATACCCTGAGCATTGAAGCAGGTGTTTGTAGTTTTGTCAGGTCCCGAGTCTTGCTGAAAAATGAAATCGGTATCTCCATAAAGCTTGTCATCACTTGTGAACCTTTTTCATTTTAACTTTACTTTTTCCTCCACTCCAGTTTATTTGCCTTTGTAAACATTCGGCTTCTTTAGCAATGAAGTTTGGTGTATATCCTGTATTCTGGACAAATGTCAACTCAGCAGTGTTCCTCATATCTCTGCTGTCCATAACATGACTAAAACATAACACTGCTCTAAAAGTAGTTTATTTGTTGGTTTTGGTCTTTATCTTTTGTTCAATCTGAGACAGATTTTTTTATTTTCTTTAAATGAAATCCACTTTGGTTGAAATTAACACTTTTGTGCAAACTGAACCGATATGAATTTTACTTTTTGAATAAGATTATTCAAAAATCTTATTCAACTTCAATCTCAATTGAGATTGAAGTTTACTGGGATGCATCTTTATCCTTTAGTGTTTTAAAATATATTTAAAAAATAGAATACCACTTTGAACTAAATCAAATCAAATTAAATTTTATTTGTATAGCACATTTCAGCAGCAAGGCATTTCAAAGTGCTTTACATAATTAAAAACAGAAACACAGAGTAATAAACAGTAACAAAGAGAAAGACATGAAAAACTTTTTATTCAGTTTATGGTTTTTCCGTTGGGATCTTAAACAACTAGCAGACCTAATGCCAACCCGTTATAGTAACAGAAACAGTTTAAACATGTCTAAGATGTAACAGATATCAGGAAAAATAAAAAACTCATGAATGCAAGTTTTGCAGTAACTGTTATAAGCCAACGCCACATTAAGTCAGATGGATTCCTGAGCACTGAAAGTATCACAGGGCATACCTTGCCCCATGAAGTGCCTAAAAACCCGTGTTAGTGAAAGCAATGTTGTAGTCATTTATA